GGAGGCCAGAGACGAAGATCAGGCATTTGAATTGGTCCTCGGTGAGCGAGCCAAGTTGAAAACGTTGGCATTCCCGGTTGACCACGCCCGCGTACGTGATGAAGTCGTCGGCATCACGTTTGGCCAGCTGCAGACACTGATAACGAGCATTGAACAGAGATGAATGCTCGCCAAAAATCTGTGACAACGTTCGGACCGTCTCGTCAAAGGTAACGTCCCGTGGGTTCCTCAGCAAGATGAAATTGGTGTAGCGCTGGTGTTCGAGCGTACCAAGTTTGCGAAGAAGCAGCCGGACCTTCCACGCGTCGTCCTGGCAAGCCAAGTCAACGATGAAAAGGTCCTCGTACCGCTTGTACCAGGATTCGAACGTTACCCCGGCCTTGGCGTCGTACAGGAATTCGCTGATGCCGCTAACCACATGGTCCACTGACTGAGAATTGGCGTTTGGACCTGCATGAAGGGAAGAACTGGAAAGCTTTTCGGTTAAAACGGACATCAACTTAAGTTGTAGCTGCAGCATCAGTGTTAAATCGGCGTATTTGCCAGTCATGGTTCGTCAACTCTGTCGCCACTGTTATAATTGAGGGAACGCCGCCTCTCGATAGGGATTACGTAATTGCCTGATAAGATTGTCGCTGGCACGGTTGGAGCACGCCTAGGATAACGACTTGTAACGCTGGCCAATCGAACGGAGTTGCGCTGACCTGATGACGCTAGCTTAGCCGGTGAGACGGAAAATTGAGCGAGCGTGTGACCGATCCTAGCCGCAAGTGTTCGGATAGACGCTGACCCCTCGGAACGGACGCACACGAGAGGGGGGTACGGTAGACGCGCGCTAATGACTTAGACGCGAAGGCCGACCAGCTAACGTCTCACACGCAATTACCTGACCCGACTGACTCCCAACTGAGGCGAAGAGAAAGAAAAGGCAAGTGGTCCTCTGTAGGCTCTTTTACGACCAACAAAGGGCGATCACAGCCAGTGCTATGGGTTATTAAGTTAGGGAAAACAGTCACTACGCCGGTGGTAGTTTGCAAATGAGCATTGTCGAAAGGTGCGCAGTTGGGGCGCGTCTCGGAGTGGCTGAGCTCTGCTGCGTTGTGGGGAGGAAGTGAACCTCGCTTTCCACAGCCATTCTGCCGGGGTTCCTGGCGCGTTTTTGCGGGGATTTTTGACGGACCCGCAACAAAACCACACATCCATTCTGCGGCATGTGACAGAACAACGTCACATGTACCGTACACCGATAATAACTGTGCTCCTTGATTTCAGGAGTGCGTTCAACTCAGTCGATCACTCCATCCTCTTCGGTTTATTGTGAAGGCCGTTCTCTTGATGCTGGAACATTCTGTGTGCCCGATACTAAGGTACCGCATGTCACACTAGGGTAGCTAAAGAGTTATTAGACGCCGGTTTGTCGCATTTTTCCACCTTCGCTCAGCCTTATCGTTGATTCCATCATGAAATGTTCTTTTGCGAAATCTCACGATTTAAGCGTTGAAGTGCTACCGTGTGCGAAATTGATCGGTGTGGACTATGCTGACTACCTCGTCTTCCCATTCAACGACCGCGAGAATGCTTAGTCAACCACAGATAAACCTGTAGATCGAGTGGTATATAGTGCTACTACCCATTAGCAATTTAAGTATGAAAACGTCTATGATCGGCTCTGACTTTACTTTTGATCAACGGAATCGGGTCGAAGTCTATGACAATGGCTATCAAGAAATAGCTCTCGAGAGCGACCTACAAGCCAGTGCTGATTGCATGCAATTGTCATCTCTTCCCTATCACAGCTCCTGTGGTCATGTGCCATCAGTGCAGCAATGAACTAAGCTCTCACGAATCGATTGCTTTGTACTTAATCATGAGACTTCTCTCGACACTGCCACTTGTTTTCAAATAAGTCACCTTTCTTAATGATTGTTTCACGCTGGCGCTTGTGATATATTTTCATCGTCTCAGGTCAACTGACCACCGAGGTTCGTTTTACAGTTTCTTTCTAATATGGAAGCAGGTTATCAGTGTCCTAGTGCCTCTTCATCTGCGCAGCTCTGATGTGAGTCGTATTGGGTCGACTACTCGCGATATTTCAGCTTTCTGAATTTTGCTTGCCACATGTACTTGGTGTAAACTATTCAACTAAGCCGCATGACCATCCGTGCATCTACGGTCCTTCTTCCGATCTAAGTCCGAATTAGTAAGCAGCTGCTCCTGTTACTGCGTCCCATCGTTTCATATGTGTTCCTGTGAACAGTGACAGGCTACACAACCACCTCTGCTCTCAACTACTGAATTCTCGACTGCTATCTTTGTTGTTAACCGCTTGAGCACTTTCGGGGACTGAGTGTCAGACTCACTGTGTCTGCTGGTAGGATATTTCTGAGTTTCCTTTTGCTGGGCGTACAATGGCATTCGGCTTCCTCAGCTCTGTGCTACTAATGGTCTTGAACTCAGTCACATGACTTTCCATCGCAAATTTCCACCCCGCATTAATTGGGAGCAACCAAACAAATGTTGTGCTGGGACAAAATCCATTCTGTTGTACTTGTCTGTTGATTTCACACCAGTTTAAATTTTGTCCATTCATTTTTTCTACGTATCCATACCACATCCATTCCCCTTTTTGTCCAGGTCACTGTAGTGCGTCAACCTTGGTGCTTGAACGGTTTTTGATTAGGTTCAACATTTTTGTGGTATTAATATTGCCTGAATCAAACAGTAGTCGTCACCAATACTTGCGCGGCACCGAAACGTTGGTACTGCGTACCGGCTTACTACTGATGACTTTTTCTTCTTCTCTCGTTACCATTGCGTGAGGTGGATAGGCTCAACTCTCATTGTGTTCTACTCTGGACCTTCACGAATTATGTTGCAGACGCGGCAACAGGCGCCCGAAATGGGTGCACGCTTCTGCAGCCTCATTTTTTTGACCAACGTAATGTTTCACTGATTGTCATTCATTGCTGTCTGACTCCGCGAATTATCGTACATCTTCAGCCCAATCAAGGGCGTTGGTAAGTGGCAGGATATCGTCATATATAGGAAACCAGTGTTACCGAATACGACAGACATGTGCTTTTCAAGTTTTGTTGAGCGCTTGTTTTTAACTACGACAGTGTGCGAAACATTGACTGAAGTAGATATATACTTGATTCATCTTGGCCAAGCATTAAACTTAAGATCTTGGAAAGTAGCCTACTTGTGACTTTGTTGTCATTTGCCTTCGTTATCTAAGTCTACCTTGGAAATTGGTCTGGATACCATATTTTGCCAGTGGGGTCTGGTTTGCAACAACGCTGCTAAGATGGGACTACATACCTAGATCCGCTTACACCTTTCATTATGGCCATGGATTACTCTGTTGTGTTCAGCTTTTTTCATTGTAGCTATACTTTCCTTTGGTTTCCATGGCTTTTGTTAACTCCATGTGTATTCGTAGATATGCTTCATGCTGAGGTTGCTGTTGTACACATCAAGCCGGTTCGCCGCAGTTAGGCTACACCAACCTACACTTAAACTAGATTTTAACCTGGATAAAATGTATTCAACTTTATTTGATTTGGTCAGTACTTTTATTCCGCGTCAATTTTGCGTGTATATCTTCCTTCGAAGTCTGTGTTGCTTGTTTGCTATCCCCGGTGTGGCTGCGCTATATGTAAATGTTGACAAAGTACCTATCGATTATGCTCGGGTATGCGTTTCATGTAGTTACATTCTAGTGCACGGTTGAGGCAAAAGACAAGTTTTGCAAACATTGGTGTTTAGATGTTTTTGGGCCCCTCTTGGAATAGCACACGGAGGGATTTTTCTCACCTAAATATGGTGACTATGGTATTTAGATCAAGCTACTTGGAGGGACTGCTTCTAAATGTTACTACCTTGTCACATGAGTGAGATTGGTAGTTTATTCCATATAGCTATCTCTGACTAGGAAGAAATTAGAGCGAACGTTCGTTCTATTCTTCGGTGTATTTAGTATAATGTCTTTATTGCGAAACTATCGAGTGAAAACCAATAGATATTTATAGCACAACACTAGTTTTTGATTCTGAAAAAGGCTAGAATGGCTACCACAAATAATAGTATAATATCCACCTGACCACTGAGAATGTAAGTCACACGTCACGTGACGGGTATGAATGTTCTTGGAAAACGTCATATAATTACAAGGATGTCAGCCGTAATGAGGCTTCGCTGCCGCGCGGCCACCACCAGTCACGCGTGGGCTGAGTATACCGCGAGGACGCTCAACCCTACACGAATTCATACCGATAACCTTGTGATTGCAAGTCAGGGGTGCAGACCACGGCCGAGTAAGAAACGTTATACTTCGACTGTACACTATTGGCTCAAACTGTTTGCTCATTGAAATAATGAGTTTTCTTGGGAGATTTCACTTTATCCTGGACAGCTATTTCGAGGTCAGGACTAAGGTTAAGCTCATAGGTCTGGGTTTGTTTGCGGTCTTGCAGACCGCTTTCTCCATCAGTCAGTCTCTCCGTCACCTGGATTGAAACGTTTTCTTTAGTGGCTCTGTAATGTCGGGAGCCCCGAGTGAGTCATAATGGCATCCACTAGCTCCTTACTGACGCCAATGTAGTTGTCCAAGAGATACCAAAGTTTTCAATTTCTTACGAAATGCAGAAACTTTAGGAAAAACCAACTCCTAGTCAAATCACAGTGAACTTCCAGTTACGAAAGACGATATAATTGTCATGAGCGTCGAACACAGTGGAAACAGACGCTTGATCCTAATTCCACGGTAACTATTCGGCTTTCAAGCAAACTGAAAGGCAGCGTACACAAGCAAAAGCAGCACAGCCGCAAATAAGCACAAGGTGAGCGCGGATTTCGAAGAAGCATTTCCTGTTGTTTTTCGTTAATTCACATAAATTGTACAAATGGCCTCGTGATAAAACCGATTATAACGAAGAAAACGTAAAGCAATTATAGCCACAACAGCATTTTCTCCGACATCACTGTGACTCTTTTTCAACATGGACCGCGTAAGTAATTCGTTTGTGCCTCATTCCTGTATTGCGACTACTTGATCAACTGCACCAGTTGTTGCTAACCCCCTCTGACACGGTACATCAAATGTTCTCCGCGGTTCCATCCGCCCCCTTTTTAACTACCAGGTTTTTCGCCCATATGTTCGAATATTGCCTGCTCTTTCTTCTTTCCTCTATTTTTTGCTCACTTTTCCTGTTTATTCGCCATCTTCGAAGCGATTTGACCATTACCTTCGTTGTCCTGATTACATTCGAGTTAGCTGAATGTAACCACAAGCAGTCTTCTAGGAAAATTTGGTTGAAATCTTTCCTTTCACTGGTATCTAAACTGAGTGTGACCTTGTTGCTGAGTTGCGTATGGTACTAAGCATTTTCCTCAACCAAACTATTTCCCATGATTCTGGTTGTGGCTGCGTATTTTACAACATCGGCCACGAGGTAACACACGTTCGCATGCTCCTATTTTACGATTGTTATTATTTAATCACTGTCTTCATCCCACCGTCTTTGCACAATAGCCAACTGTTTTTGACGGTATATTCTCGACAAGGTGTATGCGCCTTGACTATGAATGCTTGCCTAGGGCATTAACGTTTTCCGTCAGGTCCCCTTTCTCCCTCTTATTATTCTTCGTTCCATAGGTCACCATGGTTGTATAGCAGCAAAAAACATCAATTCAAATGGCTTACGTACTGCTTTTGTAAAAGACGGGCCAGTAACTCGTGTGGGTGATACCATAACGTAATACCTCTCTTTTCTGCATCTTTGTATCCTAACTGTTCCCGTTCGATAGCGTTTTGTGGATATTGCTTTCCACCTCCTGGGAATCGACTCATTTTACTACATTCTTCACTTACTTACTGGCCTTACATTTTTTTCGGACCCGTTCGTCCTCATTTGGTGCTCTTAATTACTAATTACTATGATCGTAGTGACCTCCCATCTTTGTGTTGGTCGATCCTGATCTCTTATTCTCATCGTTCAGATATCTTACTTGTTGTTGTATGTGCTTTAGCCTTCGTGCTTATTTTGTTTGGCCTCATTCTGCTTACTTTTAGGTCGATCTGGAATGCCGCATGTGGGATTTCATGTTTCATCTCAGTGAAAAATCCGGTCGCTTTTTAGATGGTTCTTACGCACTTGTCAATCGTCTGTTGGCACGCCTACTTTTCGATGAAACACGTGCTGATCTCAATCTCGAAGATTTGAAAACTAATGCTCGCATGTTAAATGCCGATCTGCTGAAATACAAGTATCTACTGGATGCCTCCTATGAGGCTGCAGTCGCCGGCCAACTTCCCACTCCGCATGCTCATGTGCAGTCTGTGATAATCTCTCTTGGAGTTTCTTATCTTTCATGCTACTCTGACGTAAGTTTGTTCATCTTCCTCCTCCAATACGCCTAACATGGTCCTGGATATTTCATTTTCCTTTTGGGATAACGTGATTAGAAGACTTAATACCTCGATCAACCCTACGTTTATACTTTGACAATATGCTTGATGATTTTGCCCGTTCAATCAAACCACTGGCTTATACTTAAGCTGGTTCAATGCAGGTGTCTGGAATTCAGCCACCTATCTCCTCGCAACTGTTTCTCAGTAATTCTGATAAGACTTTCATCCCAATAGTTCATAAGCTACATAGCAGAGCCTAGTCCGGAAAAGCGCCAGACGCGTTTCGCCCTATTGGAGCTCGTCAGTGTCGCGCATTCCCTCGGTCCTCTAAGGAGGATCGAACCCATGACCGCTAGAGGCAGATGCCAACTAGCCAGCAGCTTAAGCCACTGAGCCATGGGGGACGTTGTCTGGGCTACATCATTTGCAAACTAACTGGGATATAGCACCACCTATCTACCACTGTCACTGACAGTGGTCAGCCTGCTAGGTGATGATGTCCTCTCACTAGGCTATGTAGCTTGTTAACTACTGGGATGAAAGCCTTATCAGAATTACAATTGAAATCCTGTTTCTCAGTAGTTAAGAAGTCACCACTGCTTACAAGAGAACTGCGATTTTTTTAAACTTGTACCTAAACCCATTTTACTGCTGGTGATTTTTGACTGCTCCTAGCAATGCAAGTTTTCCACTTTCTCTTTATGCCTGTTTTTCTATGTTTATACAGTGGTCCGCGTTCAGTGCACAAACAGACTTAATCCCCTTGCGCTACGCTACTTTCTTTGCCGGCAAATCTTGGGCCGCCGTATGCGCTCGAGGTTATTTCTACTGGCTTCATTTGCATGCACGTTGTATGTTCGGTGCCACGGAAGAACTTCGTTCAGTTCCAGTTTCACAGACCGAATTTCAGATGGATTACAACTCCTCCGTTGCCCCGCTTCCTTATTCCCTGCTCCATGCCGCGGTCATCGTACGGATGCATGGTCGTACGCTAGTTCAGTTTATGCGACAAAGCTGTGAACAGCGGCTAGCGAAACGGCGTCTCAATCCTCATGAACAGCTCGAGGCAGATAAAGGGGATTCGTACTTCAGAGTACCGGACAATACTTCGTTTACTGGAGCCAGCTCACCTGAATTGACTGTTTGGGGAAACTCGTTATTGACAGGCAGGTGATTTTTTGGCGTTTTCACATATTGGTCTAAGAGTGATTGCTCTTGGATCCTCGACCTTTGGATACTTAATGTTCAGTATATTGCTATTTAAATGGGTTGGTGATAAGCAACACTCATTTTCATACTAACGTGTTTCCATGTAAAAGTATCCCGCAGCTTCTCCAGGCGTACACTTTGGATCTCCAAGTTGATCAATGCCTGACAGTATCTATCACCGGCTGAAGTCAAATCTGTCGGACTATCTTCAACACTCGTCATTGTGTTCTATCACCTTGTGTTTTCTATTAGAGTAGGGCCAGATATGATTCAGTTAGCCGACAAGGTACATTGTGTTAATTCTGATTCACTCCATTTCTTGAGGAACGGTGACCGATTGGCACTGGGCTTCTATCTTGTAATCCAAGAATCACCGGTTCGCACCTGTATAGCTACGAGCGACCTCTCAGGTCAACTAGCCCACAAATGACTGGTGGTAGTGGTCGAATGGCAACAGTGGCGCGTCGGTACTGCGTACCAGTATACTGCTGATCCTTTCTCACTCCATTTCTACCCAATTCATTCTCTATCAGCCTATGTTCCAGCAATATGAAGTTGTTTCCGAGATAACAAATCTCATCACCGCACTGAGGTTACTCCACGTATGCGCAAAGTCCGTGTGGCATTTCAGACGCTCAATCATTTATGAACCTGATCATGCTGTTAGTCAGTACTGTCTAACATGCTGCAACAAGACCGGTGTAACTGTATGTTACGCATACGTGGCCACTTCGTACTGAGGATATTAAGCGTTTGCTCGTATTTGATCACCGCTGTTCGTGGATTATTGCTGGCATCTAGTGGAAACAACACATGAACGCTACGAAGTCCACCGATTGTTTGTTACAAAGCCCTTTGGTGCCTCACCGGAGTGTGTTGAAGCCTAACTGCTTGCGTTGACTATGTTGTCTCCTCCAAACGCTTATTGACTGCCCTCGGCGTGTATTTTCTGGTGTGACTGCACCAAGCTGGCCGAAACCGCAAGGTGGCCAGTCGATGACATGGTGCAAAGGCATGGGAGAATTGGTCGAGAGACTTAGATTGGTGCGCGCCATCTTCGTGAACAGGGGCCTCAAGGTCGTTAGAGACCCTGTCAGACGGTGTAGCCGCTTACCCAGCACGCTTCTGCATTTGGTTTTTTTCACCTAGCTGTTGATATTCCTTACCTATTGATTTTACACACTTTTTTCTAACCCCCTTTATATCCATTTTTCGTTCTACCTCATTTTCTCATTATTGTTATTGTTATCTTGGCGACACGAATCGTGGCACATCGGTGCTCGGACCACAGTTGTTTACCTAAATTGAACTTCCTTAATCTCATATGGTTTTAATGAGGATGGCTGTGAGCAACAAATCTGTGAAAACGACGGGGTACAACTAAATAGTATAGCAACGAATTCATCGTCATCATCAGTACACTTCACCTGAGGGTGAGAAACACCTCGGCTAATGTGCCGCAATACAAAAAGGTAAGAGATCAGACCTTACAGGCAACGAAAGCTAGAAAAGTAACCTGATGCTAAAATCACATGCATTAAGTTGCGATTGTTGTTGGAGTGGGAAGCAAAAGGCGAGGGAAGGGACAAAGAAACTCACAACCCAAACGCCATTGAGATCGGCTCCTCGCCATGTCAGCTAGTGTATCCAACCAAACGTGTTCATCAGCCCGGCGGTCGGGAAACACTAACCGACACCAAGTTCGAAGTGAGGACCTTCATTCCTCTAGACTAAGTCATCACTTGGCGTTCCCTCTTCTCCCATCCAGACCCCGGGTGCTCAAACAACGCACGATGGCGGTCGGTGTGTTATCATGCGCAACACGTGGCCTAGTCATCGATGTCTGGTACGTAACATAATGGTGCCGAGCGGTTCACTCGCTCTTCGTGCACCGAATACGCGACGCCGAACACGCTCATTGCTCACGCCGTGTTCCAACTGAACATGAGCTAAGCTTTGAAGGCGACGATGGTCGAACGTAACAAGCCTCTTTATGTCAATCGACTTGATGGGTCAGGTTTCGCAGCCGTACAGGAGGGTTGCACAGACAGCTGCATGTGAACTCTGCCCTTCAGAGCGACAGTGTTGTCACGCAGGCGCCACTGGTGGCAGAGATTGATAAAAACACTCCGAGCTTTCGTTATATGGCTCGTGACCCCATCTTCAATCGCACGGGCGCTAATATAGTTGGCCAGATAACTTTCTGAATGACTTCTAGCTGATCACCACCAAGGGTCAACGCAGGAATGGACCCCTGCCAATCTTGGAGGACTTTGCATTTCGAGGTTGCAATGCATAGCCGAAAACGACTGACAGCCAGAGCTAATTTATCAAGTACAACTTGGCACGTTTGTAAGCTGTCATAGATACGCACAATGTCGTCGGCATACTCCAAATCAAGAAGCCGGTCACCTGAGAGCAGTTTCACATCTTCCGAGTCTTGCCTGATTAACGCCGTTTTCATGACTTTGTCAATGGCGAAGTTAAATGGGAAAGGCGACAGTGGGCAACCTTGCTTCACACCGTTGGAGATATTGAAGGGCGGCGAAAGTTTGCCACAAACCCTCACTCTGCCATAACTATACGCGTACATCGCTCTCATGACATTTACATATTTCTCGGGCACACCTTTCCTGAGTAGACAGTCCTAAATGGCACATAGATCAACCGTATCGGAAGCCCCTTTGCTGTCTAGGAACACGACTACGGGGAGTCGCCAAAAAGCATGGCACTGTGTCAACAATTGACGTAATATGAAGATGTGGTCAATGCAGCCTCGATTTCTACGAAACCCCGCCTGCTCCTCGCGCATCTGGCTTACACGGGTACCCGTTAGTCTACGTTGGACGACAGAGGCAAATACTTCGCAGGCGATTGAGATCGGACTCATTCCTCTTAACTGCGCGCATTCCGAACGGGAATCTGTCACAGTTTAACAATTGCGTAACTAACGCTCAGCGCCTGGCTCTTAGCCAAAGTAGCACAAAGCAAAACACGTCAGCCACACGGAAGGCAAAACTGTATTCTTACCGGCATGTTGTACAACGCATTGATCCACTGTTCTAAACTAGGCCGATCGATAAGTGGGTGAGCGGTTTACTGACATACGTCAGCAGGTGCAGGCAACGAATAGGAAGGACTCTGTACCTTTGTTCTGAGGATGCCACAGCCTTCCTCGAAAATTGGGACTATAACGGAGCAGCTCAGGTATGTTCAGGCAGACTCCTGCTCCCATAGATTCACTGCTAAGTTGTGTAAATCATCCAAAAGTGCAGGATACTCGAATTTGAAGAGGGCTGGATAAAGTCCATGTGCTCCGGCGGCATTGTTCAATTTCAACCGTCTGATCTCATGCTCGATTTCTGTGCCTGAAGTCGGATCCAGAGTGACGGCCCAGGGAGTAGGGCGATCATTGGCCGATGGAGAAGCTGGCAACTCTGACTGATTGAACTGCTTCTCAAAGTGTTCGGCCCAACGCTCCAAACGCTTTGACAAGCTGTGAATCAGCTGTCCACTCTAGTCGCATATAGTCTTGCTAACACCAGGTCTCCTGCTACCCGTTTCTCGTATGCGACGGAATAACTAAAGATGGTTATCAACAACAGCGTACGTTTCGATTTCCATTGCACGATGAAACCACCTGGCTTCGCTGTCTTCCTTCAAGCTAACACCCAGGTTTTGCCCTGAGACCTATGCGAGTCTCATTGTATTCGCTTCCAGTCGGAACACGTCGGCGAGCATCTACAAGCTCCAGTGACTGTGTAGAGACCCAGTGTCCAGGTTGACGATTTGAATCAAGGCATTTGGAACTGCTATCTATTCACGAATGTTTCATTAGCGCTTTCAGTCCATAATTCGCATTATCTCCCACGTTTCACTTGCTATTTCCCTCTCTATTCAAATTTCCTGTCTCTTGCAAGATTTTACTACGCGGTGTATGCGTCTTGTCAGCACACATGACCTGATACTTGTTGTATGTCATCACCACATTTGAGGTACATTTGTGTGAGTGAACTTATGCTGTCGCAAGCTTGCCGTTTACTCCCACATACAATCTCAGGTTTGGTTGTCCATGAGGGGAATCGAAATTATTGATCATTACTGGGGAGGTGTAATAACGGCTCAAACACCGGTTCCACTACGAAACGAGTTACCCCCAGCCTTCGCTTTGTGTGTACCTTATACGCACGTTTTTCCCAATTTCATATCAGTAATACGGCTTGATTCGAAACAGTGTTTGCTTTTGTCTTCATACCTCCCAGCCTCATTCTGCCCGGTTGCCTCTGGTCCGAGCCTGATTAGTTTCAACTGACCTTCAGTAACTAGCCTTCACGCGACTACTGGTGGTGGTCACGTGGCGGTGAAGTTTTGGCATGAAGTACCGTTGTACCGCTGTTACATTCTTCATGTGAATATGACGTGTGCGTTTGGCGCAGCACAGTCCACTCATGGTTGCTCTCCAGGCATAGTTAAGATAACAAGCGCATTTGAAAACGGATAACGCTGACTATAGTCTGCAGTGTAGCCAACCACCTCGCCGAACCGAATTACCATCTTCCTTCTGTTGAGAATGGATCTTTGGAACATGTTTCCCATCTATACCTGCGGATGGATACCGCAAGCGGTAAAGAGCCCATGACGTTTAATCCACATGAACATGATAACACAACATTAGATGGCACGGCGTCATGAGAGTTGTGGAATGGTCCTAGGGATTTCCTGGCTACGTGGGTGCTTGAAACAAGCACAGCTGCTTCCGCCTTTAACGCGTTATTTTAAGACTTACGTCGCATTTTACCATCCCTACCTAAGGACAACCGAAAGTTAATGAAACCCCAAGAAACACAAGCGAGATCGCTGCCGATCCTGGTACATCTGGACACACAGTCATGGGCTTATCATGGCTTACCGGCAGAGGAATGTGCCTGTGTTCGATAAGATTCATATATATTTGTAC